ACGTGCAGGCGCGCACGTACAGTGCGATTGAAACTTCGTGGCCCATGCGCAGAAGTCTGTATTTTGTGGAAGAGCCACAGTCAAGGGGCCAAAGAGCCCTTTGTGCCTCGCGAGCGCGGTTTGCCGACCACTGTCCTAGCTGGTTTGGCTCAGTGGATAGAGTTCAGCCTATGGACTGAAGGGGCTGGGTTCGATGCCAGTCAAGGGCACATGCCTGGGTTGCCGGCTCAATCCCCAATGGGGGGCATGCAGGAGGCAGCCAATCAATGATTCTTTCTCATCATTGATGTTTCCATCTCTCCCCCTCTCCCTTCCTGCCTGAAATAAATTTTAAAAAAATTAAGTAAAATGTTGGAACCTGTTCAACCACCCTACTTCAGTTAGAAGGCACTTTTTAACGACATTAGGAAAGCGAAACTAGCTGTGGGCGGGGTGGAAACGCTGCCAGGTCATCCTGCCTGAGAAGCCTGACAACTGCGCCTACATGACCGACGTGCGCGGCCGCAGCGGCGGCACCGGGTGGCGGCGAGGCCGAGGCGCGCTGGCAGCTCCGGCAGCTCCCCGCCCGGGCCGCGCCCATGTTTTGGGGATCACCACCAGCTCATCGCTTGAGCTGACTTGGGCGACCGGCCCTGATTTGTTGCTCCACAGCGTGATTAAGAAACAATCACCAATACGGAGAAGAGGCCCCAGGGAGCTGGGAGCTTGCTGGGTCATGAGTCTCTGGCGGATGCGAGCGGGAGGGAGGAGGCAGGACCCGGGAGGTCCTGTGAGGTGAGTCTGAGGCCAGCCTCGCAGTGCCCTCTCCTGGAAAGCTGGGAGCTCTCCTGGCGGGGCGGCCGCAGACAAACCCTGAGGTACACGTGCGAGTCTCCCAAACAGGTGTGCCACTGCCCCCTACTGGACACAGTGCTTTTCAGCTTTACCAGACAGAGGGCCAAAGTGAAACATTAGCGATAAGCCCCACCAGGTGACCTCAGGCAAGGCACGACCTCTAAGCCTCAGTGTCCACACCTATAACATGGGAGGGACGGTAAGAACATCTGTCCTTGCGAACCTCAAAGGGCTGCCATCGGGAGGAAATGAATGAAATAACTTTGCCTGCCTTCCTACCTCCTGCCTTCACATAATCCACGTCACTTTCCTGAGTCTCTCCAGTGTCTCTGAACTACGAGCAAATTATAAAAAACATATAATCATGTTATTCTGAGCTTTAACAGCTAGTGGCTTCTCCACTTCTATTAGCTTTACACACAATTTTCAAAGCATTTTTTCTATAAGCATTTATCATAATTTAAATCCATTTTCTGGCAACGATATGTTCAGTGGCTAAATCCCTCACTAGATTATGTGGGGACCTGTACTAGTGTGTCCTCTGTCAGCATTTCATTCCCAGTACCTACCCAACCTGGTGCCGATGGCACAGTAAATGCTTGATAATTATCTGTTGAATAAGCACCTGGGTGAATCATAGGCACTGGGGAAGGCCAGCCAGAAACAGAAAGGGCAAAGTCAGACATGGCGGGGAACCCTTTCTCAAGAGCAGCAACACAAACCAATATTAAAAATAAAAGGGTCGGGTGATGAAAAGATTGGAAACTAGACAGAGGTGGTGGTTACACAACAGTGTGAATGCACTAAATGCCACTGGGTTGTACACTTTAAAATGGTTAATTATATGTTTTGTGAATTTCACCTCGATCATAAAAAAAAATGAAAGGACAGAATTGTAATATACTCGTTATGATCCATGATGATTTAGACACTCTACAAATACGGGATGAAGTCAACTTTTTACCATGCTTGATGGTTTACATAAATGATTTCATTTGCTCCTCCCAACATGGACTTGCCCACTAGGAGACTGAGGAGCGCAGATGTTCGTTTAGTGACTTCCTATTCCTCCAACAGGCCAGGCTCACCTGCCACTCGGGCTCTGTCCCTGCTGCCTTCCTGCCTGGAAAGGACTTCCTCCAAACAGCTGCCTCTCCCTCCCCTCGTTGGGGGCCCTGCTTTGAGTCACCTCATCAGAAAGGCCCTCCCCAACTCCCCCACTTAAACGGGCACGCGCACCGCCATACCCTCTTCCTCGCCCTGCTTGCCTTTCCTTCAACATTCTTAGCTCACATTACATATTGTCCTCACTTTTCTGTCTCCTTCCACAATAGCATAAACTTCAAGAGATCAGGGAGCTTTGTCAGTTTGTTCTCTGTTGAAATCCTGACATATGGAATAGTGCCTGGCAAATAGCAGGTGCTTACTAAATATCTGTTAAGTGAATAAAGTAGTAGAATTTTACCATGAACTTGGCTGGATCTTCTTGGGCCACACCACAAAAATAAAATTACAATGTGACTGAGATAAAATACCAGTTGTTAATGTACTGTAACAAAGGGTACCTTGTTCACAAATCAGTCCCTGCACGCTCCTCTTGTCCTCAGGGCAGGGCACCTGACTGTTGTGTCCCTGGCTCTCAGCACGGTTTTGATCACGTAGTATTAGGCATTTGTCTATATATCAATAAGAAACAGTGGATTCTGAGCAATACAGACACGAACAGAACCGGCCACGACACACGTCCAGGTCCCACCCTAGCATGCACATCGGGGGTGGGGCGTCTCTGTGGAGGAGGAGGAGGAGGAAGGAGAATGTGCTGGGCAAGGGTCAGAGTCCAAGCAGCAGAGTGTGGCCTCGCAAGCCCATGTATTCTACGTAGAAATGGCTCTGCAATGCGAACCTTAGACAATTATTTCTAACTCCCAGGAAAAAGCGGGCAGGGCTGGCCTCTTGAGAGCTGGGTCAGTGTGATGTGACAGGATGAACACTCTTGCAAGGTGGACAGTGAACTTCTGAGACGAGTGGCCATCCCATAATAGTGCCCAGTGGCTTCTAAGAAATTTGTGCCCAGCAGCAGCCACCACCTTCCTCCAGCTCCTAAATCAGGGGCCAGGCATGATGGGAAACTGGTGTCACACAAGAACTCAGAGTAGGAGTCAAACTCCTGAAGCTCATTCTTCCTTCCTTTCTTCCTTCCTTCCTTCCTTCCTTCCTTCTTTCCTTCCTTCCTTCCTTCCTTCCTTCCTTCCTCCCTCCCTTCCTTCCTTCCTCCCTCCCTGTTCTGTAATGATTTATAAAAGGGCAACAAAATGAAGAGGGGAGACATTGAACTGATTTGAGAGAGGCAGTACTAGATCAGGCTCAACTGGAAATAATTGTGTGTGTTTTTAATCCTCACCCAAGTATACTATATTTATTGATATATTATTTTTTTAGAGAAAGAGGGAAACATTGATGTGAGAGAGAAACATCGATTGGTTGCCTCTCACAACCTAGGTATATGTCCTGACAAGGAACTGAATCCACGACCTTTCAGTGTACAGGATGACACTACAACCAACTAAGCCACGCTGGCCAGGGCATCAGCTCTATCTCTTACACCTGTTGGAACCTGTGTCTCTAAATGCCATTTATAATAAATTCCGTTATTTGGCCAACCTGACCACTGCCACCATGGGGGACTGTTACATCTTAAATGTAACAAAATATTTAATATGAACAAATGCCTATTTCCCATCCTGTGCCTCACATTTTAACTTAATGGTACAGAAACAGGTTTTCAACATTTGATAAATCACAAAACTTTTTTAAATTTATTTTTAAAATATATTTTATTGATTTTTTTACAGAGAGGAAGGCAGAGTGATAGAGAGTTAGAAACATCAATCAGCTGCCTCCTGCACACTCCCCACTGGGGATGTGCCCGCAACCAAGGTACATGCCCTTGACCGGAATCGAATCTGGGACCCTTCAGTCCGCAGGCGGACGCTTTATCCACTGAGCCAAACTGGTTAGGGCTAAATCACAACTTTTTAAAAAAATGTTCTGAAACAGAATTTCTGCAGAAAATTTCAAGCTATATAGGCTATAGTACACACACACACACACACACACACACACACACACGTATTTTCCCTAAAAGCTTCCTTATAATACACCCAAAGTACATAGCTCAAAATTCAAGCCAATGACTTATTACAAAACAAATTAAACAGAAAAACATCACAGCATAATTTGTACAGCTGCCACTACTTTTGCCATTTTCCATGGTAAGACTGATGGTTCATTTTAATCGGTGCTGGTTTCAGGAACTAAGACATTCACCTTTGTCCTGCACTACCGCACATAAGCCTGCTCCCTGTGGGCACTCAAGCATGGGTAGGTATGTAGTTTTTCTCAATTCCCACAGCATTTAGAAAAAGACAAACAGAACAAAACACAGTTTTTATCTTATACTGCATTCCCTAAGCTCAAAAAGAGTATTTAGCCCTAGCTGGTTTGGCAATGGATAGAGTGTTGGCCTGCGGACTGAATGGTCCCATCTTTGATTCCAGCCAAGGGCACATGCCCGGGTTGTGGGCTCGATCCCCAATGGGGAGGCATGCAGGAGGCAGCCGATCAATGATTCTCTCTCATCATTGATGTTTCTATCTCTCTCTTCCTCTCCCTACCTCTCTGAACTCAATACAAATATACTTAAAAAACAACAACCCTTTTAGCCATCAGTAGAGGCCTGGGCTTGACGCGAGAATAAATGCACAAGCACAGCTTGGCATCAACTGGACCAGCTTGTCACCAAGAGATGCAAACTCAGGTACCTGTGGAGGTGGGCGGGGACCCTAGGCATGCTGGCGGGCTCTGGCCAACTGGGAGCACAGGTCCCTGCTGTAGGAAACCCGGAGAGGCAACAAGGGTTGCAATATGGGGCCGGTGTGGCCCGATCTCCCTGCTTTTTAAGAAAGCCAGAAATCCAGGTTTTAATGTAAATTTGTAGATGTTTAAATGTTAGCAATTAATTCTAAAAACTGTTTAAAATTTCCTATGGGCCATGTACACCTGAAACTAATCTATAATAATAAAAGCGTAATATGCTAATTAGACCAGATGTCCTTTCGGACAACCTTCAGGATGAAGCTGGGGCTGTGAGGGAAGCCGGGGTCCCAGGTGCCAGAGGGAAGCCAGTGCCAGCCGCCGGGGAAGGAAGGCCTACTCTTGCACAAATTTCATGCATCGGGCCTCTAGTATGAAATAATATTGAATATCAATTGTAATTTTAAAAAGAAAAAAAAACCTTTACTGGTTTGGCTCAGTTAGTTGAGTATCTATCGTCTTATGGACCAAAGGTCACTGGTTTGATTCCTGATCAGGGCACATGCCTAGGTTGCAGGCTCAATCCCCAGTGGGGGCATGCAGGAGGCAGCTGATCAATTTCTCTCTCTCTCTATCCCCCCCACCCCCTCTCCTTCTTCCTTCCTTTCTCTCTAAAAAAAAAAAAGAAAAAGGAAAAAAAACAACTCTATGGACCAAACACAACACATCTGTATTCTGATGGCACCCAGGCAGCCTGTGTGTGAACTCTGGGAAGTAGCAGGTGCTTCCAGAGGGATCCAGGCCTGAATCTGCCATTCGTTAACTGCTTCTCAGGGTGGCCACTTCTCCTCCCAATCACTTGGCACTGAAATCCAGTCAGCTGCAGAAGCTACTGAGGAGTGGCTAAGGGTGCTGATTCCCTTGGGTTCATATCCTGACTACCATCACAACATACCTGCCTTGTCACTTTGATTGACCACTCTGGGCTCCAACTTCCTCATCTATAAAATTTGGATAATAATACAACCCCTCCCATAAGGCTATTATGGAATTAAATGATATACTGCGTGCAAAGCGCCTAACTGCAGAGTAAGGTTGAAGATATGGAGCAGCTACTGTTATCTCTAAGCTTGGTGCCTCCCTCCTCACCATCCATTCAGGGTCAGGAAATCCTGCTAAATAGGACATCTAAAACCCTCTCCAATCTATCTCTTCATTTCCATTTGTCTGCCTTCGTTCATAGCCTATCCTCTCTGCCCTATTCATTATGAGCTAATAATTGCACCTCCTGATTTACTGAGCACCACTCAGTGGCCCCCTCTGACCCACTCCCACGCTGTGCCGTTGATTTAGATCTCTCGGCTTAGAACTTTATGTAAAGCAAAGATCTGATGCTTTACATAAATGCTGTCATTCTCCCTGTACCGACAGAACAAAGGCTAACTTCCTTAATCCTGTGCCAAGGCTGTCCCTAGGCTCTGCCCAAGCTCACATCCTACCAGTCTCTAGAATACCCTCTTTACTCCTTTTCCTGAATGAGCCATGCAGGTTCTGGTCACTGTACCTTGGCAACACTATTCTTTCCGCTTAGAATGTTTATGTGTCCTTTTCTCACCCATTGTTACCTTCTCACCCTTTTAAGTCCCGCCTAAAATGGTTATCTCCGCCACAAAGCCTTCTCTGGTCACCTCCCTGACTAGCCCCCCTGGGGTCGGGCCTTCCCTTCTCAGTGGTTCCCGCCATACCTGGTACATAGCTCCCTGCTAACCCATCTCACAATGCATGTGATCTATGTGTTGAGACATCTGTCTCAACCTGAGAAAGGAGGCCAAGGGTAAGGCCTAGCCCTGCACTTTGGCTACCTTCCCAACTGGCACATAGTGCATGCTCAGTATTTGCTGAATGAATGACTGGGACAGACTAAGAGGACATTTTAATAAAACCAAACAATTATGTCACTTTAAACACATCCTGTTGCAAGAAACAGGGATTTGGGAGAATGTGCAAAGAAAAAATAGGATAATAAAAATATGTTAAAAAATCACTCAGGAGCCCTCAATTCTCTGAACTGTGTGCATTTTGGTTAATTCTAGTCCAAGGGATATGATAAAGTACTAGCCACCTAGGAGAGGGAAATAGCTATACCTACAAGGTGGCTGCCATTTCCCACAGGTTCTTGATCTTCACTTTTTCTTTCTGCAGCTTCAGTGAAATGCATCCGTTATCCCAAGAGAAAATGGAATGCAGCCAAAGAAAAAGTCTGATGGTTTGGTTCATAATGTATATACTGTGCAGTGCAATCTGAGACCCACACAACAGAAAAGTGTTCATCTTGGTCTCATGCATGTGCAGGCCTCTCCTAAGAGAGGCAACAAGTTCTTGGTGTTCAGAGAACCCCACCAGAGGAGGCTAGGAGAGGATGATCTCGGGAAGGCAGAGATCTGGGGGAAAAATAAACATCATTGTTTTTTGGCATTTATGGTCCTAAAAACTTGCCACTGAAGCACTCATTCAACAAGCACTCACTGAATGAATGGGAGGGTTGTCGCACAGCCTCATTCCCTGCCCCCGGGTAGGCTCAGGGCCCTGGCTATGGCAGGTTTCAAAACCGAGGTGGTCATCTAGCGGAGTGTGGCTCTGGGGTCAGGCTGCCTGGGCTCAAGCCTGGCCCTTGCCGTTTCTAGTTGGGACAGTTGATAGAGTAAGAGTTCCTACCTCAGAGTTGCTGGACAGCTTAAATGCTAGAGAACATGTACAGTGCTTAGCATAATGCCTATGAAATTATTCTGATTATTATAAATCAAGTAAATGTTGGCTATCATCATCTGTCAAAAAGCTCCTACTACGAGGGTGGAGCCTTCTTTAGCATATCTTTCCAACTCTGCCCATACCCAATATCTCTACTTCATTGTCCAACTATGGGATTAGAGTTCCTTGAGGATGGAAGACAGAACAAGCTATAGCTTCTCATCAATAAATAAGCAGTCTGGTCGTGGTGGCTCAGTGGTTGAGCATCGACCTATGAACCAAAAGGTCAGGGTTTGATTCCCAGTTGGGGCACATGCCCGGGTTGCAGGCTCGATCACCAGTAGGGGGCATGCAGGAGGCAGCCCATCAATGATTCTCTCTCATCATTGATATTTCTCTCCCTCTCCCTTCCTCTATGAAATCAATAAAAACATATTTAAAATAAATAAAATAAAATAAAATAAATGAACAGAAATATGGAGACAAGTAGAAGAAAACAGGCCACATATACAGAACACCTGGTCATGTACAATAGCTCAAGCATAAAAATAGATCTGGCCAAAACCGGTTTGGCTCAGTGGATAGAGCATCGGCCTGCAGACTGAAAGGTCCCAGGTTCGATTCCGGTCAAGGGCATGTACCTGGGTTGCAGGCACATCCCCAGTGGGAGATGTGCAGGAGGCAGCTGATCGATGTTTCTCTCCCTTCGATGTTTCTAACTCTCTATCCCTCTCCCTTCCTCTCTGTAAAAAATCAATAAAATATATTTTAAAAGAAAATAGATCTGGACTCTCAATGGCCGTGCTTGAAGGGACAAAACAAAGGGGCATGCCTTCAAACTGCTGAGGGGAATTCTGTACCTCACCCGAGGATATTTTTCCTTTTTAGGGAGAGTGGAAGAGTGAAGGAAAGACAGAGAGAAATATTGATGTGAGAGAAACACATCAACTGGTTGCCTCCTGCAAGAGCCCCGACCAGGGCCCTGGCCTGCAACTGAGGTACATGCCCTTGACTGGAATCGAACTTGGGACCCTTTGGTCTGCAGGCTAACGCTCTACCCACTGAGCAAACCAGCTAGGGCTGGAATAGAGACTTTTTAGGCATTTGAGGCTTCAAAAAGTTTGAGATAATCTAAGAACAGGGTGAATTATTACAGCAATTCCTCAATAGGTGTTTAATAGTATTGAGCCAGGTAAAATCACTGAATCTGACGGATTGTTTCATACCACAAATATATCTGAGTGCCTACGATATGTTGGTTTGACAACAACTAAACCAGGTAACCCAGCAGACACACACTGACTCCCTCATGGAGCTTACATTCTAGTGGAGAAGAGAGATAATAAACTACAGGAGGAAAACCCTGAGTCAGAGAGTGATGAGTGCTACAGAGGAAGAGAAACCAGGGCCTATAACCCTAACTTCCAGTGTACAGGAACTACAGCAGATAGAAGCATGGGCTAATTAGATAAATCCATCTGGACACAATTAGATAATTCCAGAATGTTGGACATGTATAAGAATACAGGCTTGCCAAAACTGGTTTGGCTCAGTGGATAGAGCGTCGGCCTGCGGACTGAAAGGTCCCAGGTTCGATTCCGGTCAAGGGCATGTACCTGGGTTGTGGGCACATCCCCAGTAGGAGATGTGCAGGAGGCAGCTGATCGATGTTTCTCTCTCATCGATGTTTCTAACTCTCTATCCCTCTCCCTTCCTCTCTGTAAATAATCAATAAAATATATTTTTTAAAAAAAGAATACAGGCTTAAAATTTTTTAAATATCAAAGTTGTTAAAACTGATTAAGAGGGAGACTAATATAGACTAAAAGAGTTAACAATCACACTTAAAATATGAGTCCTGATTGGATCTTGAGCCAAGGAAAAAAGTTATAAAAGATGTTTTGGGGACAAGAAAGGATATTTGAATATAGACTGAATATTAGATAATATAAGAGAATTGTTTATAACCTATTAAATTTAAAAAATATATAAAAATTTTAAAAATTAAATTTATTTAGGTGGTATTGATATGTAGAAGAATATCTACATTCTTAGGAGGTATGTGTGGAAATAAACAGACATAAAGTAAATAGAGCAAAGTTATCAACTGTTGAATATAGGTAGAGAATACTTGGTTGTTCATTGCTCTAATCTTTCAACTTTTCTGTATATATTAAAATGTCCAATGTAAAAAGTTAGAAAAAATAAGCATGACAACTATTTGGAGGAATTCTGCTGTAAAGGGAGGATCTTAGTTTCTTACAACTGTTTAACAAATCACCACCAATCGGGCGGCTGAAAAGAACAGAAACGTATTTTCTCACAGTTCTGGAGGCCAGACATCCAAACATCAAGATATTGGCGGAGGCCACACTCCCTACGGAGGCTCTAGGAAAGAATCCATTCTTTGCCTTTGCAATTTCTGGTGGCTGTCCACTTGCCTAGACTTGTGGCTGGGTCATTCCTGCCTCTGCCCTGGGGCCACACTGCCTCCTCCTCTTCTGTGTATGTCTGATCTCCTTTGGTCTCTCTCATAGAAGGACACTTGTGAAGGCATTTAGGGCTCACCCAGGTTACCCAAAATAAGCTCCTCCTCTCAAGATCTTTAATTTGATCACATCTTTTGCTATATTAGGTAATATTCACAGGTTCCTGGGATTAGAAAATGAGTATATCTTTGGGAGGCCACTTTTTTGCCTACCACAGGGAGCAAGAAAATAGGGCAGTATGTAGAGGGGAATGTGGGGTCAAGAGAGATTTTCAGTTTTTTAAAAATGAGAGAAGTTACATGTGTATAATAATATTTAGTAGAGTTTGTTGTACACTATAGTAGTAGTGCAGTAGTACAGTGTATTTATTCATTGTGTTAGCCACTTTAACACAGAAAAATTCATAAAGTTACCTTCATGATGAAAAAGAGGGTTACTCTTGAGAATTCAATTAAGAAAAATCAAAATATAATGGAGGAGACATTCTGTCAAACGTGGAAGATTGAACACACAATGTTTATCTCCAAAACCACCAGATGAAAATAAATAAACAAACACGGTATAAAACTACCGTATTTGCCGGCGTATAAGACGATTTTTTGGCCCTGAAAAATATGCCTCCAAGTGGGGGGTTGTCTTATACGCCAGGTACACTTCAGATAGACTGCCCATAGTGCTTGCCCCGTGCCATAGTGGCCTCCTGATGCCCGCCCACTTCATTCCACATACCGTTCAGGCATCAGCAGCGCTGCTTGTTGTAGGCTCGGCTGTTCTGCGATTTTGCTGTTATGCGATGTTACCACACTCGCAAAATCGCACACAGCCGACCATACACCCAGTATGCTATCGCGATTCGCGATTTTGCGCTATCATGGTGCCTGTTAGAATGTTGAAGAGCTCGCACTTGCGCATTAGTGAGGTCCCACGGAGATGCTGATGCAAGCGTGGACCAGGCTGCTATAGTGACAGGGCGGGCAACCAGGGAGCAGGGACCAATCAAATCAGGCTGTGTATACAGCCAACAGCCAACCACAATACTGCCCCATTGTACAGTACGGCATAGAAAATGTCGACCAGTCAAACCCCTATGATCCCTATCATGGCACCAAGATGTCGTTGATGAACTTTTAATATCAGATGATGAAGAGGAGTTTGAAGGCTGTTAAGGTGAAACTGTCACGCCAGCAAACTTGCTAGGGAGTTGCCCGGTACTTGCTCTCTCCCTCTATTTGTTATCTTACTTCTATCATTGACAGTCCCTCTAGGTTGTAGGCTGCTTGCCTGTGTTCCTGAGAAGCATCGACGGTACCAGTCTATAGGGTGTGTTTTCTTTAGTGAATTACCGGTATGTTTACCGGTAATAAACTTGCACTGTTTTATGTATATGTTTGATTACATACAGCCTTGTGACAGTTTTCCTGCATGTCATAAGCATTTGAATATAAATTAAAATGTTAAGATCAACTCCGATATTGTTTTACCTTTTATTTGGTGTGTGGAAGGGGTGCGGAAGAGGGGGTAGTCTTATACGGCGAGTATATAACAAACTCTGTCTTTTGAGTGGAAATGTTAGGGGGTCGTCTTATACGCCCAGTCATCTTATACGCCGGCAAATACGGTATAAAGACAAAGAGGACAGGAGAGCAGACAACAGCAAATCAGAGAGGTCAAAACATTTTAAGAGATGAAGTGGGAACTCACTTAGCAGAGTGCAGGAAGCTGGGACTTGAATGCTCAGAGAGGAGAGTATAAACAAGAAGATTAATATTAATATGTTCACTGTATTTATCCCTCCAAAACTTTAGGACCTGGAGGTGGAAGGAGAAAGGCACGTAGCTGAAAACAGGGAAACTGTTTAAAAGTATCTCCACTAATAAAAGAGAAACATGGTAATTGACGTATGACCGCTATCCTTTTCATTGGCTAATCAGCGAGATATGCAAATTAACTGTCAGCCAAGATGGCGACCGGCAGCCAGGCAGCTTGAAACTAACATGAGGCTTGCTTGCCTCAGTGATGGAGGAAACCAACGTTCCCCGCCTGCAGCTGCAGGCCTCTGAGCCTGCAGTTTCAAACATTGTAACAAATATCCCCGGACTTCACCCAGCAGGATCGCAACATTGTATGCAAAGGCCAGAAACCTACTTTCAGCATTTTATTCCGAAGAGCTGGAGCCTAGCCTCAAGCTAAAGCTGGCCCAGAATAAAAAAAAAGAAAAAAAGAAAAAAAGGAGCAGTTGGGAGCTTCAGTCACCCCCAG